TGTTTTTATAATGTTGTCATTGTATAAATTGCTCTCTTTATTCTCACTTCATTTGTATCATCAATTCATACAAGTATTACCATATTTCTTTGAAATCTTTCCTTTTGTCATTCTTAAATAGAGTAATAATATTGCATTACGTTGATGTATCAGAACTGTTCAGCCACTCTTCAATTAGTGGGCGCCTCTTGGTTCCAAGTTGGCATCAGTTACTAGAAAGGCTTACTCTTCACCTCATTGTCATCCACAAGGGTTCCATTCTATGATCCAGCAGCCTGAAGTCCCTCTATCTGACCGTAAGCTCCTGCCCTTCTGTCTTTCCCTGTGCCTCCCCTTCCTGAGCGCATTCTCCATCATCGCAGGCTCACGTCATGGCCGCCCTGCTCACTTGCCAATTCCATCGTCATTCGTGCTCTAATCTCACTTTCTTCTTTTCAAAATCTTATTACTGCACCTAGTCACCAAGTTCAGACTAGGAAGTGCTCTCTGTCTCTCTGTGTCTCTGTCTCTGTCTCCCCCCACTCCATCCCTTCTCTCCCCTCCCCTCTCTCCCTCCCTCTCTCTCCCACTCTCTTTCCTCTCTCTTTTTTGTTTGTTTGTTTGTTGGGTTTTTTTAGGCAATTGGGGTTAAGTGACTTGCCCAGAGTCACACACTAGTATGTGTCAAGTGTTTGGTCTGAGGCTGGATTCGAAGTCAGGTCCTCCTGACTTCAGGGCTGGGGCTCTATCCACTGCTGCCCCCTCCTCTTTTTTTCTCTCTCTGTCTCTCTCCCACCTTTCTCATCTTACCAAAAATCATCTTTCTAATATACAATACATATTATACCCCACTCAAGTACCCTTTGGTGCCTTCCTGTTGCCTCTAGGAAAAGCTACCAGCTGAGCAGCCTGAGCATGCAGTCCTTCCACAATGTGGTTCCTACTGACCTTTTTTAGCCCATGTTTCCAATAACATTCCTCACACTCCCTCTTCTACCCAAACTGACTTTTCACTGAACCCAACATTGCAGCTCCAGCCAGGGATAAGCCGTCCCCTCGACCTGGAATTCATTCCTTCTTCAGTGTTACTTTTCAAGCTCTTAATCTTCAAAGCTTGTCTGAGATGCTCTTTCTTATTATGAGTTCCCTCCAGTTATTAGGGCTCTTTCCTTCCTCAAATTACCTTGTCTTTATTTGTCTTGTATTCTCCCAATAAAATACAAACTTCTTCAGAGCAGGAGCCATTTTGTTTCTGCCTTTTGTCCCTCCAGCCTTCCACATAAGGTTAGGAACCCAACCTTTCACTGGTATAGGGGACTCTCGGATAAGCAAAGTCCCTCCACCAATGCAGGTGACACTGTTGGGTTCTGATAGGGTTAGACAGTTGGGATTGGCACCTTCTCCACAACCTTCTTCTTAAGAAATTGCGTAGATCACTAAGAGGTTAAGTGACTTCTTCATAGCTGCGTAGCTATTGTCAGAAGCAAGACGTGAATCCAGGTCTTCCTGATTTCAAAGTCATCTCTCCCTATGCAGAATGCCACAGCTGCCTTGTCCATGGTAGGGACTTGATAAAGAACAGAACAGAACTCATGATGGCTGCTCCAATCCAGAAGTAAGCTCCTGGGATGGCTCAGGGACAAACTAGTTCCCAGGATGAGGAAGCTGCTAACAAGCTAAATAGATTTCCCAGCTCCAAGCCAGAAGAGGCTGAGGGCCCACATGTATATTCACAGGTAGCTAGGACTAGCAAGCCACCTTATCATTCATTCCATACGTGGCAGCTAGCGGCACAGTGGATAGAGCACTAGCCCTGGAGTCAGGAGCACCTGAGTTCAAATCCAGCCTCAGACACTTGACACTTACTAACCATGTGACCCTGGGCAAATCACTTAACCCTTAGTTTTTCTCATCTGTAAAATGAACTGAAGAAGGAAATAGCAAACCACTAGTATCTCTGCCAAGAAAACCCCAAATGGGATCACTAAGAGTTGGACATAACTGAAACAAATTAACAAGTAATTCTACACATGACTAAAGCAGCTACTCTGCAAATTAGTTAAGGCTGAAAATGAACTCCCTCTCCCTCCTACTGCCTTTTCCTTATTCTCAAAGACCAGGAAAGTTTTGTTTTCTACCCTATTCTACCCAGAAGATGGCAGAACAGTCCTATCATCCTGGAAGTCACAGGGTCTTAGGGTTTACAACTGTAAAGTATTCTGGAATTAACCCAGCACAATCCTTTCTTAAATTCACAGGTATGGAGCTGGAAGAGAGGTCTTAGAGGACATCTAGTTTAACCCTTTCAGTTTACAGATAAAGAAACTGAGGCCCAGGAAGGTGACAGACCTTGCTCTGAAGCTGTCGAGCTGGGATGGACTCCTAGCTCTTCTCCACACCAAACCTGGCATTTTTTCACTGCATCCTTGGAACCAGTATGTGATCCCCCATCCATTCAGTCACCAGCTCTCACATCTCTGGTCACATCTTTCCACTCCACCCTCTCCTTGCCACACCCACTGCCACCCTTTCAGATCAAACCTTCCATCCTCTTCACCTGGACCATTGCAATGGTTTTCTCGTCTCTCACTTTACTTCTCTCCAATTAATTCTCTGCATTGGTGCTGAATGAATCATAGAATCATGGATCATAGACTCAAGGGCCAAAGCTGGATAAGAATGTCAATTTTACAGATGAGTAAACTGACTTGCAAAAAACATTTGAGGTTTTCTTGGCAAAGACACTAAAGTGGTTTGCCATTTCCTTCTCCAGCTCATTTTACAGATAAGGAAATTGAGGCTAGATTTGAGCTCAGGTTCCTGACTCCAAGTCTGGCACTGTATGACCTAGCTATCTTAGGAAGACAAGTTCAAATCCAGCCTTAAATGTTCAAATCCAGTCTCAGATACTTATTAGCTATATAACTCTGGACAAACCACTTACCCTCTGCCTCAGTTTCCTGGACTGTAAAATGGGGATAATAACTGCACCAACCTCTCATGGTTGTTTTGAGAATCAAACTCATTTACTATTTGTAAAGCATTTAGCATAATGCCTGGCATACAGTAGGTGCTATATAAATGTTAGCTATTATTATTAGATCTATGATCCTACTATCAATAAGGCCCATCCACTTCAAGATTAATGATCCTATGAAAGTCCCAGGTACTCCACCCTAGTTATGTCTCTGTTCATTGCCCTGTTGTACATTTCTACCTGAATGTCCTAGTATCACCTCTACCTTAGCTGATCCAAGACAAGATTTATCCTCTTCACCCCTAAACCCATTCATCTTCTTAACTTCTGTATTATTGTTAATAGTACCACCATACTCCATGGTGCTTTGGATTATAACCTGAACTACCTTGGATTCCTCCCTCTCCCTCACTGTCCACACTGATGGTCCTTAAATCCTACCATTTCCTTCTCCACCATCTCTCTTACTTCTACCCAGTTTCCTTCTTGTTGCCATCACTTTAATGTGGTGAGATTCCCCGAACTTGTCTCCTTGTCTCTGGATTCTTTGCCCTCCAAGCCACCTAATCAACTGAAATTAGATCCATCTAGGTAACATATGCATTTAGAATATCACTTCTTTGCTCAAAAACCTTCATTGGCTCCCCATTGCTATTTGCTTGGGTTGGGCTGGTTGGTGTTAGTAATGTATCTAGAGGGGCAGCTAGGTGGCGCAGTAGTTAGAGCTCTGGCCTTGGAGTCAGGAGGACCGAGTTCAAATCTAGCCTCAGACATTTGACACTTACTAGCTGTGTGACCTGGGGCAAGTCACTTAACCCCAATTGCCTCACCAAAAAGCAAAAAAAAAAAAAGTGATGTACCTAGAAAAGTGCAATCAATTCACGTTCAGAGGGCGTAGTGTAGCATCCCAACTCTGTTAACTCACTACCTGTGTGAGACCTGGGGCAGGACACTTTAAACTCTGAGCCTCAGGAAATGAGGAGACTGGCCTGGCTCCTATGATCTCATGAGTCTAGGGTATTATCAAACCTGAGCAGAGGTCCAGAGATTAGGCAAGTGTTGGCAATGGAACCTCAGATACCTAACCAAGGTCATAGGCTTTGGAGCTCTGGAAAGGACCTCATCTAATTCATCCACTTTACAAATAAGGAAAATGAGTGGGTATGATGAAAAAAGTATTGACTCCTAAGTCAGAGGATCTGACTTCAAATCCCTCCTCTGACATTTACTACTTATGCGGCCTTGGGAAAGTCACAAAATTCCTCAGGTCTTCATTTTGAGAGAAATGATTATTAAATAACCAACTGTTAATATTGGGAAGATCCAGTAGCTTTTTTTTTTCTTTTCTCATTTGGTAACTGAGTCAAAACTTAGTTCTCTGAAAGGCTGGGCAGATGATGAGATGAAATCTTGGAATTGTTGACCCCACTCAGCTAAGAGAACCTTACAAAGAATTTAATCTAAGGTGATTTCTAGCCCTGTGTTCTACTCAGCCAGGTCTGAGGAGAGGTAGATCCTCTGTCGAAATTGATCAGGGCTAGGGGTGGTCTGGGAGCAAGAGTGATCAAAGTCACATCTCCCAGACCCCCATTAGAATAGGATTACCTCTCATTATAGTATTTATTCTCATTAATTGTCAACCAATCAGAGTTGCCATTCTCAGGAATACCCATTCTTCCAAGGGCATATAAGCATTGAGTGGGTTCCATAAGAGGTTTTTACCATTTGAGAGATCCATCGACCCCTTTTATTAATTGCATGCTATTAATTTACCCAGAAACTGTATCTCTCTAAATTTTTATATATCACAGCTTCTTCAGTTATAAAATGAGGTGATTGGACATGGCCACTGCACACATGGTCTGTTCCAGCTATAGTTCTTTGATCCTAAATAATTTACCCAAGGTCACTTAGCTAGTAAATGTCAGAGCTGGTATTTCTGTAAATCCTTCCACCACCAAGTCTAGGGCTCCTTCCAGGATAGCCCTTGGACAGTCTGTCTCCTTTTCACATCACTGAGAATATCAAAAAGGAAATCACAATATTAGAATTTTACAATGATTCTCTTTTATTTCTGACTCAGCACACCTGACTCTTTTGGTTTTTTCCCTTGTGAAAATCAGCTGATCATTTTAAATCTTATGTTCCAAAAATGGCAAAAGTTGTGGAGATTCAAACTTGAGGCTCCCTGGACAGGACTCTGAAGATGTCTGTGGGAAGGGCTGAATTTCTGGTTTTGGAGGGTGTTGTTTTTCTGGGCATGGACCTTGACCAGGAATACTGATTTCAGGCAAAGGAAGGACTTCACCATTCTTTAGTGGAGGAAGTCTGTGAACATCTTGTTCTGTATGCCCAGGTGGAGGCCCATGCCCACATGGACCGTGGCCGTGGGGACCATGGCGATGATGACCATGACGACCATGACCATGAGGACCATGACCATGACGACCATGACCTTGAGAACCATACTTATGTGGACCAGGACCAAGAGGACATGGCTTGTGAGGATCAGACCTATGGTGGTCAGCATGGGCAAAGGAGGGATGAGTTCCTTCAGGATGATGGAGATCTGGTTCATCTCTGACAGGAGAATTATCAGAACTCTTCTGTGGCCCTGCCTTAGGCTCTTTCTCTTCCAAAGAAGGAGGGTGGGTAGGAGGTGGCCCTCTGTGCTCATGTGAATGATCAGGGTGAGGAGGTTTTCGGCTTCCGTGACCCACATGTCCATGTGATGGAGGTGGGCCTCTAGGAGGATGGTGCCCATGCCCACCAAAACGGTGGTGTCGTCCACTGCTGAAATTGGGGTCCTGGAAGGAAAAGGACATAGGAATGGTCCTTTCAACTCTATTCCATTCCCTTTAATTCAATAAGCATTTCACACACTCACAGGACCTCAGTGGCCATGCAGTCCAATTATACATGAAAGAAGAGTGAGAGAAACTACCAGGAATCAGGAGAGGCCTCACGTAGGAGACCACTCCCCCTTCACCTTGAAGAATGGGTGGAGGTAAGGAGAGAGAGCATTCCAGGTATGGGGGACAGGAGGTCAATGGGGACTGCCAAGACCAGCTAGTGGGCTGATTTGGTTGGAACAGAGTGTGTGAAGAGAGGAGGCTCAGTTCCATAATCCAAAAAGAGAAGCTAGGCACCGTAAGCTCTAGTCTATTCCTCAGTTCCCATCAGGACTCAGAACCCTTAAGACTCCATGAGGTGGAAGTCAGGAGGTCACAAAGACAGAGGAGCCTCGTCCCCTTACCCTGAACATGTTTCAGTGCCACTCCCAGGCCAAGGGCATTCTCTAGGCAGCTGCCCCTCACATACTTCTGGTGTCGGCCAGGGCAGGAGTACTTTTTTAAGGACTACGAGCACCAGTTCAAAAATAAAAAATACCAATTTGCATCTCATTTTTGTCTTTTTTTACACAAATTTACATATTGAGTTTGAGATTCCCACTATGGAGCAAAAAATAAAATAGATTAGTGCAAGCCCAGCCTTTTAGAAACGATACACGAGAAACATCAATGCTTACGTCTCCCCACGTATGTTCTCCCTGAAAGACAGGGCTGTTCTTGCTCTTTCCCCATATTTCCAGGGCTCACTATGGTGCCTGGCACACAGTAAGTGATGAATAAGTGCTGTGTAATTGTGACGCTCCTGAAATAGTGGAGCCCTTGGGTGAAGGATCCGCTAGATGCAGATCTAGGTCGAGAGCTGGAAGAGCCCTTCTGTGGGACCTCATCCAATCACGCCTTCCCCAGAGACCGAGCCAGAGGCCCAGAGGGGAGCGGCAGGCCCAAGCTCCACGTTCATTAGAGAGCTATTGGGGTCACTATGATCCTATTAAAATGGCGAAGTAAGAATGAAAGCCCTGGCTCCTTCAAGAAACAGAGGCAAAGGGCGGCCTAGACTAGGAGAACTCAGTGGATGCCTCTCCATCCGGGAAGGCGGACAATAAAGTGACAGATGTTGTAGGAACGTGCGGAAAGAAGAAAGCTACTTCCTCGAGCTCCCTCACACAGACATCTCCCAGAGCCGCATCTCCAGCCCTGACCTCTCTCCGAACTCCAGGCCAACCTTCCCACATGGATGGCAGCTGAAGGGGCCTCAGGCTCCACCACCCCATTATCCTTCACCCTTTCTGGTGATGGCCCCACCATCCATGCTCTGTCCTCTGCATCTCACATCACAACAGTCACTACATCTTGTCTGTTCCACCAGAGGCGGTGGAACGGACCCCAGAGATGGTGTCAGAGGATCTGGTGGGGAATCCTTGCTCTGCCACCTACTGAACGCTTAATGTCTCTGGGCCTCCATTCCTTCATCTTCAAAATAAGGGGGTGGGCACTCTAGCAACGCCTGAGGCTCCTTCTGTCTCCAGACCTATGATCATAGGACACACACACACCCCTTCGTGACTATCCCCATACCACCATTGGCCTCTCAGTAGGTCTTGACATCTCCCCTCTCTCCTTTGTCCAATCTGTCATTCAGAACTGTTGCTAAATTAATTCTTGTTATGTGTAGTTCTGGTCATGTCCCTTCCCTGCTCACTAATCTTCATTGGCTCCCTATTACCTCCTGAGTGAAGTTCTAACACCTTTATCTGGCCCTCAAGGTGCTCCACCACCCCATCTTTCCAGTAATGGACACAGATGGAGACTGAGGTCTGAGAAGTACATTAAAATCCTCCTGGCATGATGCTGTCTTGGACAAAGACAGTTTAAGGCAAGGCACATACCTCCTTGAAAATTTCACAGTTTACATGCAGATCATCTGGTTTGTTCAAGTCCGAATTCTTCACATCGTACACAAGAGCTGCCCAGCAAAATCCAAAGACCTGCAAACAAGAGAGAAGCCTGTGACTTTGGGGGGGAGTCCTGGGGAGGTGTCTGCTGGCAGGAGACTGTGGATGGATGTGTGTGTGTGTGAATGCAAGCATCTGCGAGAGTCTGAGAGTATCTGCTGGCAGGAGACTCTGTGTGTGTGTGTGTGTGTGTGAGTGTGTGTGTGCGCGCGCGTGTGAATGCAAGCAACTGCGAGAGTCTGAGAGTGTCTGCTGGCAGGAGACTCTGTGTGTGTGTGTGTGTGTGTGTGTGTGTGAGAGAGAGAGAGAGAGAGAGAGAGAGAGAGAGAGAGAGAGAGAGAGAGAGAATGCAAGCATCTGTGAGAGTCTGAGAGTGTCTGCTGGCAAGAGACTCTGTGTGTGTGCATGAGTGTGTGTGTGAATGCAAGCATCTGTGAGAGTCTGAGAGTGTCTGCTGGCAGGAGACTCTGTGTCTGTGTGTGTGTGATCTGCAAGAGTCTGAGAGTGTCTGCTGGCAGGAGACTCTGTGTCTGTGTGTGTGTGTGTGTGCGTGAGTGTGTGTGTGTGAATGCAAGCATCTGTGAGAGTCTGAGAGTGTCTGCTGGCAGGAGACTCTGTGTGTGTGTGTGCGTGAGTGTGTGTGTGAATGCAAGCATCTGAGAGTCTGAGAGTGTCTGCTGGCAGGAGACTCTGTGTGTGTGTGTATGTGCACACGTGTGTGTGAATGCAAACAACTGTGAGAGTCTGAGAGTGTCTGCTGGCAGGAGACTCTGTGTCTGTGTGTGTGTGTGTGTGTGCGTGAGTGTGTGTGTGCGTGAGTGTGTGTGTGAATGCAAGCATCTGTGAGAGTCTGAGAGTGTCTGCTGGCAGGAGACTCTGTGTGTGTGTGTGTGTGCGTGAGTGTGTGTGTGAATGCAAGCATCTGCGAGAGTCTGAGAGTGTCTGCTGGCAGGAGACTCTGTGTGTGTGTATGTGCACACGTGTGTGTGAATGCAAACAACTGTGAGAGTCTGAGAGTGTCTGCTGGCAGGAGACTCTGTGTTGTGTGTGTGTGTGTGTGAATGCAAGCATCTGTGAGAGTTTGAGAGTGTTCAGGAGTGTATTGTGAGAGTGTGAGTGAATGTGTGTGGATGAGTTTGGGGGAGTGAGGGTGTTTGAGTGTGTGTGAGTATTTTGAATATGTGAGTGTATGTGAGACTATGTGTGTGAGTGTGTGTGTGTGAGAGTGTATACATGAGTGTGTGAGTATATGTGAGTATGTGAATGTGTGTGAGTATATATGAGTGTGTGAATGTGTGTGAGTATATGTGAGTGTGTGAATGTGTGTGAGTGGGTATGAGAGGGTGTATACATGGCAATCTGACCCTTGTCCAATGACCTGGGAAGATGATCACAGCCTAGAAACACAAGGTAATCTCATTGGCAGTGGGATGTGTGAGCTGCATGACCCTTGGTAGGTCAGATTGCTTCTTTGTCCCTCAGTGTCCTATAAAGTGAAGGGAGTCAAATCAGTGGCTTCCAAGGTCTCTTCCTGTCCTAAATGGGTGGTCCTTGGTATTGGTAAGAACACTGACTAGGTGGTGAGGTGGCTGGGGATGGAAGGCAGGGGATGGAAGGCAGGGGAGGTCAGGCCTCCATCCCCGCCTGCCTTTAGCCTCCTGGGTGACCTTGATCTGAGCACTGCTCTGAGTGAGCACCAACATTTCCTCATCTGTAAAATAAAGAGGGACTAAGCAGGTGAAGCCGCTGTCCAGCTCTTTGACCTTAAGTTCAATGTAACAAGCAGAGGAAATGTTTACTTTGTGTCAGGCACTGGAGACACAAAGATTAAAAATGAAACAACTCCTGCCTTCAGGGAGCTTCCATTCTTTTTGGAGATAACATATGTGTATGATATATATATACATACACAGTCAAACACGAAAATGTAACAAGTTCCGCCCTTAAGGAGCTTCCGTTCTATATGGAAGGGTCTGGGGAAGAAGCATCTGTAGAGAAGTGAGGGCAGTTACAGAAAATGAAGCAAAGGGAGGGTCAGTATGCTGACGATGGCGAGGCTGAGGGGAGCCAGCCACCAGCCTGGGAAAAGTGGAGCTTTGAACATGTTCTATTCCTGTCTTTCAATAAGCATTTGGCCTGGCTCCATGGCTAGTACACAACTTAATCCATTCTTTTTGTTTCCAGAAGTTCTCAAGCCAGAATAGCAGCCCCAGGGAGTCCAGCCAGCCAGGAGCTGGGGAAGCCTGGGGTGGTGGTGGGGGGGGAGTCAGCGTGGGATTCTGAGGGGTGCAAGAATGAGTCTGGTCAGGGCTTCCTGGCTCCTCTGAGAAATCAGCAGCAACCCATCATTACACTAGGCACTGAGCTTAGGCATAGTGAGGGCTGTCCCTTCCTCTCTACCCTCACCCCCATGTTGTCTTCCAATTAGAATGGAAGCTCTTCCAGGGCAGGGACTTTCTTTTGCTTTTCTTTGTAGCACCAGTGTTTTGCTCAGTGCCTGGTATATAGTAGGTGCTTAATTAATGCTTACTGCCTGCCTGACCAAAAAAAGACTCAATGACCCCTCCCACAACTCAGCTTTCCCACATGGAAAATTTGAACCATGCTGGCACCAGCCAGGGTAAAGAGGCAATGGGGAACTTGGCTGCTCCCTCTGGCTGGCTGTAGCCCATGGAGGAAGGCCTACAAAGAGGCTCCTTTTCCTTCAATGTTTGAAACACTACATGGCTTGTTTCTCCAGAGAACTGATTCCTGACTGTCTCTGAATAGACAGCATGCCACAAGTACAGCTCAGGAGAGGAGGAAGCAAAGAGTTGCTGTCTTTCCCTCTCTTGACCTGCCTGGAGACTTTCAGAGCCTCGTTGTGGCAAGGGATCACAGGTATTACTCAGTCCAACTTGTTCCCAAATATAAGTCACCTGTGCAACATCTCGGGAAAGGGACGTCCAGATTCTGCCTGCAAACCTTTAGTGAGAGCCAACCCATCCCCCCAGGAAGTCTGCTTCTGCACTTGTGGACAGCTCCCAGTAACGGGAAGTAGTCCTCTTTCTGGGGCCAAGCAGAAAGGGTTGATTTCTCTTCTCCATGACCCATCTTCTCAAGGACCCATCATAGGTTTCTAGATCCAGAGCTCTAAGGGACCTCAAAGGCCATCTAATTCAACCCCCTCATTTTACAGGCAAGGAGACTGAGACCTAGAAAGCTGTGACTCCCAAGATCATAACAGTACTAAGCAGCAGAGGTGGGATTTGAACCCAAGCCCCCTGACTCCTGAACCTTTCATAGCTATCACAGGTGCTTCTAAGCCCTCTCTCACCAGGGCTGCATGTTACCAGAAAGGGGTCAGTGGTCTTGAGTCAGTGCTTTCTCTGCTCCTGCTTGACCTTCTCTGGCCTCTGGCCCCCAAGGAAACCAGAATTCCCTGAGCAAAGAGTACAGAGGCCTTGGGCCCACGGGGAACTGACTTGGGAGTCAGCTGACCAGTATTTCTGGCTGCTCGCCTCAAAGCCTGAAACTGAGAACCAGAACTTCGGGGAACAAATTTGCAAAACTACAGAGTGCTCTAGAAACAAGACGTGGAGACGTCCAAGAAAACAAGAAAAACTTCCCAGACCAAGGAGGCAGAATCAGCTGCAGTCACAGGGTCTTCACTGATGGCAACAGGGATCAGCTATACCAAAATATGTGTGTAATGTTATTTTATATCTGTGTATATATGTAAACACACATACAGATGTTGTTTTCAGGTCTGCATAGTACTTTACATATATTACTTCCTTTGAAGCTCACAACAGCCCCAAGAGGTAAGTGTGATTATCATCATCTCCATTTTATAGATGAGGAAACTGAGGCAAACAGCAGGTAAGTGACTTGCCCAGGCTCACACAGGTCATGAGAGTCGGAAGCAGGATTCTCCTCATCCACTTACCGGACAGCTTCTGAAAAAGTGAGGAGGCGGAGGCCGGCCTTCTGGCCCAGAGAAGTGGTGAGGCGGTGGTGGAGGCGGAGGTGGGGCTTCTTCAGAGTGGTTCCTTATGCTAAAATCCAAGTACAAAGTGGTACTTTCTCCTCCCCTCTGAAGCAGAGAGATCACATGAGCTCCAGGAAAGCAAATCGGGGTAGCTTAATGACCCATTCTTCAATTCCATATCCAGTACCCACACATTACAAATACCCCCATGTCTCCTCGGAATGTGGGGCCACATCACCCCCTGGCTCTGTCCTCTTCCCTTTCTAGGACCCCCTCCTCTTCCTTGGTTTTTTTGAATTGAAATATTTACCAATAAGGCAGTTCCTTCATGTGAACTGCCCACCCCCTCTGAATGTGCCACCCCTCCTCCTACAGATAAATAAATGCTTCTTTACTGACCTAATGACCGCAAACGGCCCCAATTTAGAGACACATTCCTGAGAGATCACCCATGGCTGGTTTGGGACCTCAATGGCCATTCAGCCTTCCCATCCCTAACCAAGAATCCCTTCTCCAGTATCTCCAACAAGCAGTCATCTGTCTTCACTTGAAGTCTTTAAGTGAGGGAGAGCCCATCCCGTTTTCAGCCATTTAAGTGATTAAGAAGCCTTTGCTGTCATTCCAGCCCCAACTAATTGCTGCTGGACATGGCAGTAGGTCAGTTTCTTAGAAACAGCTTTCATATATCTCCTGAGCTTTCTCTTCTCCAAACTAAACATCCCTAGCTCTTTCAACCCGTCTTTGTCCTGGATTTCCTCACCTTTGCTCAGACATGCCTCAGTTTCCTGAGATGTGGGACCCCGTTGTTCCAGATGTGACCAGGGCAGAGTACAGAGGGAGCAGTAGCACCTCCCTTGTCTCTGAATGTATCCTAAAGTTACTTTAATGGGGGAGGGGAGGTACATAACACTGAACATTTACCTTGAGTTTGTGATCCACTAGAATCCCATGTCTATTCTACAGAATTTTTAGTTTTGATCTCTCCCTGCCCCCTTCCCATCATCTTGTACTTTTGAAGTTGATTTTTTAATCCAAATTTCTCACATGTAACTCTATTAAATTTCATCTTATTATATCTGCCCCCATCTTTCTATCCCCTGTAATGATCTTTTGGGATTCTGACTGTTATGTAGCATTTTAGATTTTTTTTCTCCCAGCTTTGTGGGATCTGTATTCTCCTAGCAGGCCACACTCACATAGAGGATATCACACCTACTGATTTTGCACCCTGCCCCTTGGTCCCTCTCAACACCAGAGCTTTATTTAAAGGCTTATTGCAGACTCACCTCCTCCAGAGCTCTCTCAACCTTCAACAGCTGGAAAGAGGAGACACTGGCATTAGCCTCCTGGTACCGCTTGAGGGCTTTCTCTGCCTGCTCCTTATATTGTTCTGGATTTTCAAAGTAGTCAATAATCACAGTCTCAGATGTGGGGTTGGTTAGTGCAGAAGAAACTGTGAAAATAAGATGAAACCCAATCATGTAAATGGAAAGAATAATCACCAAAAGAGAAATGGAATAAAATAACCAAGCTAGGTCCTGAAAAAAAAAAAAACACAATGTATGAGAAACACCTCCCTCTCTTCTTGGCAGCGGGGGGGGGGGGGGGGGGGGGGGGGGGGGGGGGGGGCTATGGAGGTGGAGAACAGCATATACTGGCAGGCAGATCCATATGTTTGTTAGTTTCACTTATCTGCTTTTCTTTTTTCTCAGTCTTTATTTTTTGTAATTAGAGGTGGCTCTCTAGGTGGAGGAGAGGGATGGGGCTGTAGGAAAATGCATATTAGTGATATAAAAACAATAGAGATCATTTTCAGATTCTCCTCTAAATAGGATAGCTGTAGTGAAATGTGTGTGCCTCTCCCATGACACCCTGAAGGCAAGCAAGTGCCCTCAACAGCGGTAAGATAGTTTAGAAGAGGAGAAAGTTTGGGGGGGAAGCCAATGAGTTCTATTTTGGACATATTGCCCCTGAGATACCTATGGGACATCCAACTTGAAATGTCCAAAAGGCAGATCATAAATGCTCAACTAGGGACAGCTGATTAGGACTGAATCTATAGATCTGGGGAATCATCTGCATACATATGATCATTAAACTTGTACAAGCTAATGATTTTACCAACTAAGATAGTATAGAGGGAGGGGGAAAAAAGGGCCTAGAACAGAGACTTGGGGGACACCTAAAGTTTGCAGGCATGATGTGGAAGAAGATTCAGGAAAGACACTGAGGAGTGGTCAGAGAGATAGGAGGAGAACCAAGAGAGCACAGTATCATGAACACCTAGAAGACAGTGTCCAAGAGGTGAGTGTCAAAGACTGCAGAGAGGTCAAGAAGGGGAAGGACAGAGAAAAGGTCATTGGTTTGACAAGTAAGAGATCATGGGAAACTTTAGAGAGATCAACTTCAGTTGAATCATGGGACCCAAAGCCAAATTGCAGGAGGTTTAGAAGAGAGGGAGAGGAGAAAAGAAGTCAGTGAGTATAGTTAGCTTTCCCAAGGAGTTTAGTGGAGAGGGGGAGCAGAGGCATAGGATGACAACCAGTAGGAATGATTTGATCAAGTCAGGGTCTAAAGATGAGGCAGGTATGGGCATGTTCATAGGCATCAGGAAAGTAGCCAGTAGATTAAAAGAGGAAGCATTTATTAAGTGCCTACTGTATGCCAAGAACTGTGTTGAATGTTTTGTAAATATCTTATTTGATCCTCACAACCACCCTGGGAGATCAGTACCATTATCATATCCATTTTACAGTTGAGAAAACTGAGGCAGATAGAGATTAAGTGACCTGTACAAGGTCACATAACTAGTAAACGCCTGAGAGTAGATTTGAACTCAAGATTTTAAGATTAGAGTAGAGAGTAAGGATGATGTCAGTGGAGGGGGGGAAGGCAATACCTCCAGCAGGAGGAGATGAGAAAGATGGGACCAAGGGTAATATTTAATAAATGGGTAGGTGTGATAGTCAGTGGTGAGAAGGGACTAAGCCTTGCCCGGAACAGTGCCTGCAAAGCCCATCTCAAATAGAAAGAGAGAGCTCCTCCTCCTCGTGACCTGGTGATGCCATGGGATCATTACCTCCAGGAAGAACTTACCTTTGTGATTTACAGATAACCACAAGGAAACTGAACAGTGAGTTCAGAAGCATCGTGTTGGTATAAAAAGGACAATACTCATATCTGCTTATACAATGTATGTGTTGGCTATAATGGCTTTTCCTGGACTTGTGATGGGAAGAAAGTGACCATGAGCCTGGTTGTGCTTGACCAGAGGAGAAAGTGAAGAGGGGGGAGAGGGAGTGTCTTACAACAGAGAGGCAATGTGGCATGGTGGATAGAGCACTGAGCTTGGAAACAGGAAGTCCTGAGTTTGAATCCTGTCTGTGGTCTATACTGGCTCTCTGACTGTCATGGAATCTCTGTGGGCCTCATTTCCTCTTCTTGGAAGTGAAGAGGGGCAGCTAGGTGGTCCAGTAGATACAGCATCAGCCCTGGAGTCAGGAGGACCTGAGTTCAAATCTGTCCTCAGACACATAACACTCACTAGCTGTGTGACTCCAGACAAGTCACTTAAAGCCAGTTGCCTCACAAAAAAAAAAAAATGAGTAGACTGGACTTTGATGTCCTTTTTAGCCTTAAATCTATTGTCTTTAATGCAAATAATTATCCATCCAATTTTTGTAAACTGAATCCCGCTTTAAATCTTAGGGAAGAGTTTCTGATTTGAAGAAATCCAGCAGTAGGTTTAGGGTTGGTTTTTATCTTTTTAGTGAAGGTGCTTGTGTGTGTTGGGGGGGGCGGGGTTGGGGGAGGGGGCGGTGTCTAGGCATTCATTCACCTTTTCCTCCATGTGAGTTTTTCTTTGTGGGAGAGTTGCATCCCCCACCCCTGCCCCCCCCTCCATCCAGGGAGTGGAGATAAGAGGGAAGCCTGAGTTCACATCGAATCCCACCCACCCCTTGCATGCCAGGCAGCCCTAGCACATACCAGAGCTTGTGGTACAGTTGAACTCAATCACCTTATCATGCTCCGGGTAATAGGTGGTGTTTGGGTGGCTGATGGCCACCACTTTGCATTTCCCGATGACCTGCAAGAAGGAAAAAATCGGGGCAGCTAGGTGGCACAGTGGATAGAGTATCGGCCCTGAAATCGGGAGTACCTGAGTTCAAATCTGGCCTCAAACCAAAACACTTGACACTTTCTAGCTGGGCAAGTCATTTGACCCCAACTGCCAAAAACAAAAAGAAGGAAAACATCGCTCTTCATTTCCTTGGATGTCCTGCCTTCTTCAGAATCAGGGCAAAGATAGGGTGCTTCCCGTGACCCTGGGAAGGGTCCTCATTAAGACTTTCTTCTCTACCTTCCTTAGCTGTGTGACCCTGGATTCAGTCTCAGTTTCCTCATCTGCAAAATGGGGAAAGTAACAGCCCCAGGTTGCTGTGAGGCTCAAATGAGGTAAAACATATAAAACACACGACAGCTAAACTTCCCCTGAGGTCAGAACGGATCTCCTAAGGTTATTACAAGTCTGAATGGATTCTTGAGGGCTATTGGAAAGGGAGGGAACAAGGATTTATCTATTAAGCCCCTAAAATGTGCATAGCATTGTACAAATGTAATCTCCTTCCATCTTCACAAGAATCCTGAAGGTAGATGTTGTCATTATTATCCCTGGACACTGAGGCAAACAGAGGTTAATTGCCTCAGTCAAGGTCACTCAGCTAGTAAGTGTCTGAGGATGGATTTGAATTCAGAACTTCCTGTCTCTAGACCCAGCCGCCTTCCTGACTGAGCCACTCAGCTGCCTCCGGACAGGGGGTGTGCTGGAACCTGCTTGAACTGGATGTTGACACCTGATTGTTAAATTTTCAGCGTGAGTATTTACACCTCAAAGAATCCCTACAAATCAGGGCTTAATTTATTGCATCATTGATTATCTAGACTTAAGAAAATGATGCAGAAAATGCCAACAATTCAGTCTAAATTTCAAAGTGTGCCCTGTGTACATTTGCGGGTAGGGTGGATAACTGGTTATTAAACATTTACTGGGACATCATCGGCTATAAAGAACCACTCAGAAGATATAAGTTGAAGTCCCAAACATTTTCAAAAAGAAGCTCAACTTTCAGCCTGAACACAACTGTTTTTCTTTCTGAAAATAAAATTTCAAATTTAAAGGAATGAACTTGTCTTGATGGGTGGATGTAGCAAGGGGTATGCTGATAAATATTTAACAGCTAGGTCTCCAAAAAATTGTACTCACTACACACTTCTCAGTTTAACCTACATTATTGCTGTTTTCTCCATCATTTTTTAAAGTCTAAACAATCAACAAAGCATTCAATACCTGATTTGTAGCATCTGCCAATTTCCAGTGTAAATGCCTTCCCTGGATATTTAACAATGGGCTTTCCCAATCTGGGAGCTGGCTCCAGGACACTCTTGGGCGCAACCTTGAGAAGAGGAGCACGGTCCTCCCTTATGAATCTGGGGCTGAGATCCTTATATGATGGACTTCCCACGTGTCAGAGGGCAGTCTTGGCAGGAAGACTTGCGGACCATGAGGTGCTTGGGACAAGATGGGCAGTCTCAGAAATGCTTAGGCCAGTGGAATTCTAGGCTGTGGCTGAAATGGAGGGACCTACAACCGCCACTGCCTTCTCCCTCTTCCTTCCAGGAGCCTGGCATGGTCCGAAGGTGGAAGGTCTAGGGGCTAATTGCCCCATGTTGAATGGAAGGACTTCCCTCCAACCCATGGGGAGATAAAGAAGGACCAGAGAAATCATCAGGGCTTTTCTTTCTGTTGCTCTTGTACATTATTAGGCAAAACAGACTGCCAGGGAATATCTGAGTGCCCTCAAAAGGTGAGAAAGTATCGAGCTTGTCTACTTACAGTGTCAGTGGGCCGTTTGCCACCTTTTGGTTGGCAATTCTCCACGGGTGTCCTAGACAGGACAGAGCAGTCTGATTCTTTCACATCCAGGACCAAATAGTGGATAACTGCAGATTCCTGAGGAAAGAGAAGAAAATGCACCTTTTAACAAATTCAATTGGATCCAGTCCCATAAGCATTTATTAAGTGCCTACTATGTGCTAGGCAGTAGACAAAGCACTGAGGATAAAAAGACAAGAGACCTCAGAGGATAGTCCTTGCCCTCAGGGAGCTTATATTCTATCAGAGGAGACAATTAATCAAGAAATAAGCATTTATCAAGCACTCACTGTATATTGTATGCCAAACTGTATACTGTAAGCTAGGTACTAGGGAAACAAAGACAAAAATCAAGCAGTCCCTGTCTTCAAGAAGCTTGTGTTCTATTAGGGGACACAGTCAATCAATGAGCACTTATTAAGCCCTTAATGTATACCAAGCAATATTCAAGCCACTGGGGATCTACAGACAAATTAAATAATCCCTGTCCTCAGAGAGTTTATACTCTCCTGAAAAACCACTGGTATGCATATAGAGCTTTAAAAGGTTTTATTTCATTTTTAATTTATGGAATACAATAAACATTTCCATAAATAACATGGTATAATAAAAAAATGATTGCACGTGAAACTGCAAATCTATTAGATACAACTTGCTACATACAGCCCGTACAAATTACAGAGACCCTCCCTGCAAATAGCCTTGGGAGACGGCTGGTAAAAGGAGGCTTGTAGCCATTTTACTATGGTTTTTGTTGTGTCTTGTTTTGTTTTGTTTCTGTAGTCTATATTTTTTTTTCTTGCTGAAAAATATTTTATTTTTATATTAATTTATTTGGATTTATCAATCACTTCCATAAGCTTTTGAGCTTTAAATTTTTCTCCCCTAAAGGTTTTTTTTTTCTTTTGCTTTTTGGTGAGGCAATCAGGGTTAAGCGACTTGCTCAGTCACATAGCTTAGTAAGTGTCAAGTGTCTGAGGCCGGATTTGAACTGAGGTCCTCCGACTCCAAGGCTGAAGCCCTATCCACTATGCCACCTAGCTGCCCTCATTTTACTGTTAAAGAAATTGAGGCTCACTTTGTGACAGTGGGAGAAAACTCATGTCTGTTACCCAGTTTCTTACTCCTGGGGGCCACGTGCCTGCTCAGATTCACTCCTTTGTGGTCCTTTGTGCCAGAGCCTTAGAAAAGTTTCTGTCACGGGGTTCTGAACCATGTTTGTGACAGGTACCCTTTGGGAGTCTGATGGAACCCTTTTCAGGATGAAGCTTGGTGCCCACATTCATAATTAAAGATAATATTCTGTTTCAGTTAGAAGTTAGTAAAAATATAGATGTCATTTCTCCCCCCCAAGTTCACAGGCCCCCTGAAAGCTTCAGGGCTTCTGAGGGCCCCAGGCTAAGCACTCCTCCTCCAGAATAAAGGAGGAACTGCATAAGACACATTGAGGGAGTCAGTGGCTTCACATGGGTTTTTCCTCCATCACACTTTCCCAGACTGAAGCAGGGCCTGCCTGGACCTGAACTTGGGCCACCCCCAGGCCTCTACCCAAACCTCTGGTTGATCAAAGCAGCATGGTAGAGGGAAGGAATTCCTCCCCCTTTTAGTCATGGGCCTCTTCAGCAGCCTGGTGAACCCCTTCCTTCTTAAAATTGAGATCTTAAATGCACAAAATAAAAATATTAGGATTACAAAAGAAACAAAAGATTAATGAAAATAAACACGTCATCCATTCAAATTCACAGACTCCCAGATGTATCTATGGATACCTTGGTGGTGAAGGGTGAGGTGGGGTCCTGTCACCCTAGATTAAGAACCCCTGGTATCATGGAAAGAGAACTAGATTTAGAAGGAGAAAGACCTTTAGATTTAGCTACATTTTTGACACTTACTGTCTATTTGATTCTGACAAATAATTTAACCTCTCTGAACCTCTATTTCCTCATCTGGAAAATCAGGATCACAATACCATTAGCTCCTACCCTATAGGGATAATTATTATAAGCCTCAAGTGAAATAATGTCTACAAAGCAAACCTTAAAATACTATGTAAATATTAACTATTTTGCTAGTATAAATGCTGACCTGCAATAAACATTGATTGACTAATAGTTAAAATAACATTGATAACAATGATTTGAAGACAAAAAAGTTACTAAATCATTCCTACCCTTTGATCAAGCTGACCCATCAGAGCACATACAGATAGGTCAAGGCAGAAGAAAGGCCACGCACTTAACCAAATGTTTACAGCTGCACTTTTTGTGGTAGCAAAGAACAGGAAACAATCAATTAGGCACAATGAATATAAAGGAATATTTTTGCACCATTAAGAAAAAACAAACATGAGGAATTCAGAGAAACAAGGAAAGAATTCTCTGGGCCTCAGTTTCCTCACCTGTAAAATGAAGGGGTTGAGGTAAAAGACAACTGAGGTACCTTCTAGTTTGAGAGCTATAAGCCCCTCACTTGTAGTAAGTGTTGGAAGGCCAAGAAAGCCAAGCCAACAGAATCAGACAGGCATGATTACAATGACCTCCACCCAAATAATGGGAGAAAGCAGCACGAGCCAGGTCTGAAGAGTGCCAGGGGCAATGGCACTACCAAGATATTCTTTGGGGGCCGCTAGGTGGAGCAATGGATAGAGCACCGGCCCTGGAGTAAGGAGGACCTGAGTTCAAATCCGACTTCAGACACTGACTAGCTAGCTGTGTGACCCTAGGCAAGTCATATAACCCCCATTGCCTCCAAAAAAATTTTTAAAAAGAAAAAGATATTCTTTGTTTTCCATTACAACCTCTCTGGGTGACTCAGTTTCCTCACCCACGAGTCCCCTGTATCCATGAGGCCACAGATTCAGTCTTTGTGCCTCTTTACTAAAGTAAATACAATTGCCTTCCCTAAAGTAACTGAATCATTAAAGAAGCAGCATTGCCCAATAGTCAGAACCATTCTTCCGCCACAAACACACACACACACACACACACACACACACACGCATACCCATACACACATGTACACACACATACACACATATACACGCTACACACATACACACACCCATACACACATATACGTGCTACACACATACACATATGCATACATACATATATACACATATACATATACACATACCCATACACACACACCCATACACACATATACATGCTACACACATACACATGTGCATACATACATATATACACATATACATATACACATACCCATACACACATATACACACACACACACACACACACACACACACACCACACACACACACACACCCCACCCTCCAGGGTATATAGCTGAGAAGAGCTCAGTTCCCAGCTTTGTCTCTAGCACCGTTCCTCACCTCCTCGGGTGCATCAGTGTGGGCATCAGCAACGCGTAACAGCTGGAACTGGTAGCCGTCCCTTCGCTTTTCATTGATCTGATTCAGGATTTCCCCAGCCTTGAGCCCAACCGCCTCACAATCTGCAGGGCTCACTGAGGATGAAAGCTCTGCTGAGGCCAGGAGAAGCAGCAGGACTGTCAGAGCCCACATGGTGGCAAAGCATGGAAACCCACCACACGGGCGGGAGATGTCGGGCAGAATTTAGGGGACAGTCTCTTAGAATAAAAACAAGCCCTGTGGCTCGTGGATTCCTATGAAAGGGGCACTTATGTACAGTTCAGTTGTGTAATCTGGAATGTCACCTTGACCCCTGGTTAAGATAGGGGAGATCCAGTAAATGATTAGTTAATATTGGAAACAAAAGTGGAGACTCATCAGTGCGGGGGTGTCTGGCGGAATTTAGGGGACAATCTCTTTGAATTAAAAAACAAATCCAGTGGATCCCTACAGAAGGGGAACTTTTAGTACATTTCAGTTATGTAATCTTGGCTATCACCTTGACCCCTGGTTAAGACTGGGGAGAGCCAGTAAATGATTAGTTAATATTGGAGGCAAAAGTGGAGAGTCATTGTCAGCATCGGGGTGAAATTATGCCTCGGCTTCAATTTAGACACTCCTAGCAGACAGCATTAGAGATGGAGTCTTAAAAAAGCAAAACAAAAAACATTAACCACAAAGTGGATCTGTTCGCTGATGGGGTCTCCTGTAGGATAAGCACAAGAGTATAGGCACAGCAGCGCTTCTCAGATTGTATCTGCTCACGGCATGATCATTGAAATTGGCATTGCTGTACAGAGTCGGGGGGCTCACGCGTGCACCACTACCCTTTCACATGAACAGTTTGTTGTTTTTATTGAGCCTCTTGTGACTACTTGGTCTAATGTACATTTATGTTTGTGCGCGTGTGCAATGGCTAAGTTTTATTTATGAATATTGTACTTACTGCACATGGTGAGGTAGTAAAATATTAAGTGAAATTGTTTAGATTTTTTTAATCTGAAATAAAATAACATCCCAAATTTCATGGCGCACTGGAGACCTGGGGCCAGACTTTGAGAGTCACTGGCATAGAGGGTTGAGCAGAGGGTCTGATCGATCTGATGAATGTACAAAGGTATGAGATTTGGACAGATCCAAGAGTCAGGAGGCACTTAGAACCTGCTTTATCTCAAACCTGGGACAGTCATGCCCTTTCCTGTGCCTGTGATAGGGAAAAGTGTAAGAGCTTGAGGAGACGGTCCTGAATTAGGAGGGAGAAGGAGGTAAGAGCTCACAGAGGAGTCTGATCCCGTTCATTTCAGCCCCCAATCACAGAGGTCTCACCATGTGCTGGGAATAAGGGGCGAAGACAAGATGAAGAGCAGTCTTTACCTTCAGAGGGCTTAAATTTGGTTGGCATTGCCACACCCACACTGAAATAAATACAGCATTATTTGAGCAATATAATAACAGCTAAGGAAAATTCAAAGGGTAACGCGTACCACAGAGAGGTGGGCCTGGAGTCAGGGAGACCTCAGTTCAAATCCAGCCTGAGACACTCACTAGCTGTGTGATCCTGGGCAAGACACTTAAGCTCTGTTGCCTAAATTTCCTCAACTATAAAATGGGGATAATAACACCACCTACCTAGCCTTGTGGTGGTCAAATGAGATATCTGTAAAGGGCTTAACACAGTGTCTGTAGGTGCTACAGAAATGCTTATTGTCTTTCTCCATTCCCTCCCCCACTACTGGGGTTGGCCCGTGAGCTAAATGTTGAAGGAAGCTAAGGATTCTAAGTGATAGAGGTGAAGGAGAGGGCATTGCAGGCATGAGGCACAGCCTCTGAAAAGATCCAGAGAGAGCAGATGGGCAACAGCAAAGAGGGCAGTTTGGCTAGAATGTCACTTGAAACTGGAAAGTTACTGGAGTCAGATGGTGAAGGGCTTTAGATGCCAAGCTAAACAGTTGGCACTTGTTGTAGGCACATTCAATGAGCTGTCTTACGGTATAGAACTAGGCTTCCCACCCAAGGACAATTCTTGTTGTTCTAAGAAAAGTTATTTGAGCAGGCTTAAGATGAGAATGCAAACACAGCCTCCTCCTTCTCCTCCTCTTCTTCCTCCTCCTTCTTCTCCTCCTCCTCCTGGCAGTAAGACACAAAGGCCAGCCATCCCTGATGTGCTGCTTAATGCTTTTTTCTTATATTTTACAGGAGACTCAAAAATAGCCACTGTTGTTTCTGAGGCAAGAAGAAGAAAGGTGCCTTCAGACGCTGATGGAGGGGCTGCCCTTGGGCTGGGGGAAGTACCTGTTTCTCAGGTGCTGAGCTCAGTGTTTGCTGTGCTGCTGAAGCACCAGAACCCTAAAGAGATAATTAAAATTAATTCAAATAATTTAAAGCTTCTGTAGACTTGAAAGATATCAAATAAACCCACACCAATCATCAGCATTTCTACATAATGCCAACAAACCCAGCCAGAAAAGAAATGTGCCATTTAAAATCACTACTGAAGGTATAAAACACTTGGAAGTCTACCTGCCCAGATCCCCACAAGAACTATATAAATATAACTACAAACCACTGCTTAGAGAAATACAGGCCTAAGTAATGGGGAAAATATTAACTGCTCATGAGTGGAATGAGTCAGTTTAATAAAAATGTCAGTATTACTTCAATACCATACTAATCAAACTACCAACAAATTACTTTATAGAACTAGAAAAAATCACAAAATTCATAGGGAAGCCAAAATGGCCAAGAATCTCAAGGGAAAAAATGAAAAAAGGAAACAAAGGTGCCTACCAGGGCTGGATCTCAAATTATACTACAGAGCACCAATTCACAAAACAATTTGGTACTGGTTGAAAAATAGATAGGGCAGACAGGTGGCATAGTCGATAGAGCTCCAGGCCTGGAGTCAGGAAGACTTTTCTTCCTGAGTTCAAATCCAGCCTCAGACACTTACTAGCTGTGTGACCCTGGGCAAGTCACTTAACCACATTGCCTAGCCAAAAAAAAAAAGAAGGAAGAGTCCAGGGTAATGCTGAGGTCACAGAGCTGGGAGACAGGAATGAGGATGATGCTTTTGACAGAAACAGGAAAATTTGAGAGAGGAGGGATTGGGGGAGATCATGAGTTCCGTTTTAGATGTGCCTAATTTAGATGTCCCTGGGATGTCTGGTTTGAACATCTAGCAGGCAATTTGGTGACAGGAAACTAAATCTCACAGAAAAAAATAAAACTGCATCATACCTGGAGTGTCAAGGAGTGTGCCTCTGACAATATCAACCAAACTATTGTCAAAACTGTCTTGGCTCGGACAGTGTTTTATGTGTTGTGCCTATGTTATGAACAGGGAGGTCAATGGCTGCTAGACTCCTGGCCTCTTCCACTGCTTACAGGGTTCAGATGGGGTTTGATTAGGATTTGAGTTCATGCCTTCGCGCTCGCTGACTGTGCGAGCTCATTTACCACACAGGGTCTCCCCTGAGCTCCGGCTCAGATCCCTCCTCTGCCCTCAAGTCTTTGGCCGCTGACCCAAGGCTCGCCTCCACTTCCTCTTCAGGCCCTGTCACTGACCATTCTGTTGGCCCGTTTGAGGAGTTGGCTACCACTTTAAGGCACCTCCTGAATCCTTTCCTCAGAGCTCTTCATTTCTTTTATGGGTAGTTAACTTTTCACATTCATATGTCTCGTCATCTCAGTCAACTCTTACTTCCAGGACCCAATGCAAGATGCCCTGTTTGTCTTTGAAAGCTCTTCCCAACGTGGCCCCTTCCTAACTTTCCCATCTTCTCATCTTTGACTTCCCCCCACTCTACAATCCAGCTATGCTGAACTGCTCATTCTTCTCACATAATACTCCAACTCTTGACTTCCTATATTTCTTCCTTTTCTTTTCATTTAAGCATTTATTTTTGCTCTCTCCCTTCCCTAAAATCTCATCTTCTACAGGAACCTTTCCCAATCCTGACTAGTTCTAGAGCCTTTCCTCTACTGATTAGCTCCTTTTTCTCCTATCTGTAGCTTATTTGTTCATAGGTGTTAGCATGTCACCTCCAACATTGGACTGTCCCCTCCTTGAGTGCGGGGACCATGTTTTCGCCTCTCTTTGTATCCCAAGCCTTTAGCACAGAGCCTGGGTGCATAGTAAGGACTTAATAAATGCTCATTGACTGACTGGCTGTTACCTGTACCTCCCTTTCCCAAATAGGAATTTGGGAATTTCTCAACTCTTTTAATGACCCCTGTTGCTTCTCCCTGAAACAAAGCCCTTTCCTTTGGACACTAATAATCTTCCAATCATGCTGTATGGTTGTACTTTCTGCTCCAAAAAAATTATAATTGTCACTCAATCAAAGGGCAATGAGGAAGTCTATGGTAGGTGTAAATGAACTGAAGTGTGTTACCAGCAAGGTGCTAGGAGAAAAGATTCAGTGAAGTAAGGAAGAACGTTAACCAAGAGGCACAACATGGTGCCCGGGTGATGTTAAGATCCTTGGAAGAAGGCTTCCAAGCATGGAGGCCCTCTATTGAATATTGATAGGAGGGCATTGACTGAAATAATACAAGATGAGAAGATGCGAGTGGGTTGTGAAAAGAACCACTGCAGGGAATATCCCCATTGAAAATATCACTGGTTCGTAGAAGCAGCATTTGGGTGACCCCCTACTAGACCATAAGTTCACTGAGGTCAGGGACCATGTGTTATATTTCTTTGTATCCCATACCCCACTCTCCAATATAGTGCTCTGAACTTAGTGGACACACTCACTAAGTATTTTTAATGTTAATTCATCATGACCAGGAAGTTTACCAAAATAATTCAGATTAAGAAGAGGCAAAAAAAAAAAAGACAAACTTTATTAGAGCCAGGATGGAATTGTGGAATGCTAGATACCCTCTGTCTTTCTCCTCCATCTCTCTACTCCAATCCACGGCACCAGATATCCACCAAGTGGGGGGTGTGTGTGTGTGTGTGTGAGAGAGAGAGAGAGAGAGAGACTTTCAAGGTGGGAGGATCAGAGGATTTGAATTCTCAGCAGGTCCTGGACACCCATCTGATCCTAGCCCTTCTGGGAAAGGAAGCACAGTTGGCATCTCTTCTTTTTCCAACATGAAGCGGGATGGAAGGTGCAGGACTTCTCCCAGGGGCTCCACTGTCAAGTCAATACGCCCAGGGAAGGCCATGAAGGATTTATTTTCCTGGCCACCTTCATTGTTCTCATCGACCAGTTCAGGCAACAACTGGACTGACCCTCTAGGCC